TAAACATATCTGTGGGGAGTGATGAGGTCGGAGCCTAGACATAATATAACTATACTATACTGCTGTAATTAACATTTCAAACGTGAGTTGTCTGACTGAACTAAACTTTAACTATAGCGTTGTCACATTATATACGTGATTTATTTTTCAACATTGATTTTGAACGGTTTTGAAAGGTCAGCTCAGAAAACACCTCTTTTTCTGAGCTGACCTTCTCTGACCTTCTCTACTTCTAGAGTGCATTAAAAGTTATTGTTTTTTTCCCATATGCAAGGTAGTGGTCGTGTTTCCATGCCACAACTTCACTGTAGACACCCCAGCATTTTTCCCAGAGGTTTGCAAGATATTGTAAAAATAAGCGAACTAAACAGAAAGAGATTGTTTTTTCTTAGTTCCTGAACAATGGAGATACATAGTTTTCACAGTACAGCACTGATAAATGGAGACATAATAAAGAAAACTACAGTAAACAAAGTGATTTTTTTAATAAAATGTTTATTATTACCTTTGTATTATTTTCTGTATACAAGAATGTGTAACAAAAGCCAAATAAGCAATCCATTTTAGTCTTTTAAAAATGGTAAGGCATGTCTGCTTGTATAACCATCAACTTCAGTTCCCCCAAAACACTTCAAACACCGTGCACCGACAGCTCCAAATATCTTAATGTGCTCCATAGTTATCTGATTTTGCAAATCACAACAGTACCACACTCACAGCATATGTTTTAGCAAAAGTGCAGCAAACGATTAACATCAAAATGACCTTGCATAACACATTTTGTTCTAAACATTCTGTAAAAAAACTTCAGTCAACCAGGATTTTATTCTTTTTTTTTTTTCAATTTTTTCAAATGCCAAAGAGAATGAACGAGACAAAAGAAAAAATACATATGGCTCACCGACAAATTAACTTAAGCACTGAAGCATCTCAGACAGTGATACTGTATGTCTGACCAGGATAATGTAGCTTGTCAGGAGAGACAGAGGAATACACAAGGCAGTGGAAAATGGCATGAACATTCCTCTCGTTGTAATGAGAGGAGACTGTTGTTTGTACCGATACAAGCTCTTTGGAAAAATTCAACCTACTTCTGAAACAGAATTTTTTTAATGTACTTTCTTTCAGGAACACCAGTAAAGACCTGCCTTAGCCTTACTCATCCAAAACTCTTGTTGAAATCACAAATCGTGTAGAGGCGCTTACGGGTGCATTGGACCTTTTGTATGGCTGCAGATGCTGACTGAGTTTTTACACTTTCAAAAATGTAGTCGTTAAGCCTCAGTGAGGAGGCAGCCGTGCCAAAGCTTAAACAATGCCAGTATCTGAAGCCAGACGGCTAACTTCCTGCCTTGTTATTGAACACACACACTGTACTGATTGTTCCGCCTCACTTCCAACCCTGACTCAGAAATATCTGCTTCCACAATGTTCTTTAATACTTGTAAACTGAGTTTATATATTTGACTGCAGCAATATAACACAGTAACTTGCACTTCTAATCAACTTTTCTCATCCTGTTGTATATTTATTTCATTTACCAATTACAGAATGGTGACACAAAGGTGAGATGAATGCAACTCTGTTACTGCCCAATTAAATCAATACGACAATGCACTTTATGCCAAAATAAAAGTGCTGACAAAACATCTATTTGTGTTTTAGTTCTAAAAGTCAGAGCGTTCTGCAACAGGTGTAGATATATTCTCTGAGCAATGTAAACGTTTAAACCTAAAATTTAAATATCACGGTCCCATGTAACAGAGCATGATTTTTACATGAAACCTCCTTCAGTGCAATTATCTGCTATCCAGGACTGTACTCCTGGGTGGGGGAATCCTAACCGATCAGGATAACCGTTGCTGCACATCAGCACTGACAGCTAGTTACTTTAATTGTATTTTATTCAATATTCAGCAAGTTATAAATAGTTACTGCTGGACATCCATCCTGTTTAACTACCTCCCATCTGTCTCATCTGTCTGACCCCCTGAAACAGCACCAGTCAGTGCTTTTGCTAATGAATTGAACACAGTTGGTGGTGGGCTCTCTGTGCTCATGTTAAGATACCATGATCTGGCAGAGGCCACATGGGCAAACCAAAAATATCCAAGAGAAAATGGCACTAGACTGTAACCCATATAACTTCTGTATAAACACCATTTTAGATTTTGAGAGGTGAGTAAAATGTGTTTGTGTGTTTAGTTTCCCCTGCACCTCCTCCTGTTCATCTTATCTCATACAGGCTTTGACCTTGAATGGGCTCAAAAGGCTTGCTTAGTCACCCCTGCTGTATGCACAGATATCTGTATGTACTTTTTTTAGCCAATCAGCCAATTCACTGACCCAGATCTTAAAAATACTTATTGCCTTCTAACCAAGCATCTACTTTCATATAGACTGAATGAGTAACAGGGACAACAATATGAATTTGATGAGATGAAGATGGCCTCCTTCCCCTCAAGTATCACTGTGTAGTGGAGTATGTGGCTGGATGAATGGTACATGGCCCCATTTTAGCTCTTTCCACACCTCAACTTATGTTGAGGAGGTCTCCCACTTTTCCGCTGGTAACCACTTCTCAGCAGATTATGTTCTTAGTTGTCATCTCTCAATTCTGCTGCCTGGCTTTACTGTTGAGTACTGGTTCACTTTTTTCGCATCCATTCCTAAGACTATCTTGGTTTCCTTTTAGCATCCTGGACTGTGTGTAAAGTAATTCCTTTATTCCTTTATAATTTTATTACCGATGTCTTCCTCTTCAGTGACTATGTCTTGGTTGTGATACTGATATTAATATGTTGGTAGTGATGGTTTTCACAATATCTTAATACTAGCTCGAGTCTACTCTAGTCAAGATGTTGAGATGACGTAAAAGAGCAGCAGTCAAACTTTTAAACGATGGAAACCATGTGGAAAATGTGATGGAAATGGGCATTTATGTTTGTTTCATGCATTTTTAGGAAGGTTTTTGTTTTTCGACTCTCTTTCCATTGCACTTTCATTGCATTTTGTTTTAATCTATACGCCAACTTTTGACCTCAGCACAGAGTAAAAATGTTTTAACAATATCTGGTGTTTTCAGTTTTTAATTGAAAATATACAAAAAACTGGTTGATGGAAACACACTGTCTGTCCATGCATTGGTTTACTACACTGGGCAGTTTGACAGTGGGGAGGACCTCAATGTTGTCTTTCCTCAGGCTTCGGTTGGATAGAAGCCTGCCGCATTTTGCAATTAAAGTTTACGCATCATTGGTTTAATTGTATCATGCTAGTTTTGGTGGAAGGCTGCTGTTTAGTCACCTTCTCCTAAAGCAGTTTCTGCAGGGAGTGAGGCAGCAGAGGTCAAATGGTTGTCCATCTGTTCTGCAGTGGGAGCTGCCTGTGGTGCTCGGGGGGGGTCTCTCTTCTGAGTCATGTGAGCCCACTGAGGCAAGATTTCCCTTAAGGTGCTGTCTGTGAAGACAACCAGATTGCTGATGCAAAATGTGGCAATGTGGATATCAGTCTACTCTAGTTGTGTGCTCATTTGAAGGGACCACAAAAGCACTGCACTTCACCCGCACCTGTCATTTGTGCCTAAGAACATCAGATATTTTTTCAGGTTTTGGAGGGTGCAGATTAATGCTATTTTCTCTCTCGCCTCATGCTGGCTTATGCTACAGGAAGTGTGTGGTCTGAGATGCTCACAGCTGCTGTCACTTTGTCACAGCGATGGATTTGGGGGAAGGCCCCTATTAAGACAAGAGCCGTGCTTATTGGCTATATGAAAGCATTTCAGGTGCTTATGAGCTGATGGGATTGGATCCTCCAGCCACACTCCAGCATGAGGGTGGCTGCCTCAACAGCCCTCTTTTGTGGAACAGTGAACATTTGCCCCTTTGTTTGTTTCTATAATATCCCTGCAACATTTCTGGGACCTGTCTTTTCTGTGTAACAAGAGGTCACAGCCATCAAGTTATGTTGGTGGGGTGCAAACTATTGGCTTTGCTCCTTGAAACCTCTAGAGCCTGTTTGAGGTCAAAACCTGTAGGAGATGGAATGAAGGTGAATGAATAGTAACCCTAGTTATGAGAGTACAGTCAGAGCCCTCAAACCTTGGCACCTTGCTTCTTTTGCTGGCTTGGTACATGCTCTTAAGAAAAATTACCACTCATACAACCTGTAGTTTTTAGGTTTTAGGGGTGGTTCTGATTGGCCAAATCTTAGGTTGGAATTAGGTAAACCTGCAGCCCCAGTCAGAGGGCTGCATGTGAGCTCACAGGACTAGGGTTACAATGAATGGGTAACCTTTCTTATGTGTTATATAAACAAATGACATAAACAAACACAATAAATCATAATCATAAATTATTAAAGCAAGGGAGCCAGGAAAATAAGTCAAAATGTTAACACTTACCTAATATTACTAATAGTCCTCTGAGAAATAAAAAGGATGTTGAGTATCCAAACTGAAAAGAGTAAATCAGGTAACTGAATATTGTTAGCAGGCAATTGTAGTATAATGGCTTAGTGTTGTTGCAAAAACTCTCTTTTTTTCATTTTACACATGATCAAATTGTTTGTAAAAACAAATATTACATTTATTTAAAAAAATTAAGCGATTAACTAAACCAGTAAGATTACATTACAGTACCTTCCAGTGAAATACATACTGCAACTGTTTATAAGTACAATACAATCAGTTAAATGATCTGAAAATATAGATCTTCTTTCTCTATGGGGTGGATGTTTCCTGTAGCTTTATAAACTTATGAAGCCAACAAAAATAATCTGTGCAAAGTAGTTCTCTTAGTGCAGTACATTAGCACTTTTTTAGAGATAATTAAATGTGCAACTATAAAGTGGCTGTAAGAACTGCTGCTTCCTGAAGCCACACTGATATGACCAAACGGGAAACCAGGTGAACTGCTAGCACTTTACAATCCTGTACCAACCAATCCAAAACTGTGTAGCCTGCATTTAAAAAAAAAAAAAAAATAATGTTTTTTGTCAGTTAACATCATTTCCATGCATGCACACAGTAAGACTTTCTCCTTTTTGTTTGAGGGGGACAAGACTAATAGGATAAAATGGATTTTGTCTCGTTTTCACAACTTCATCATACAAAGGAAAAGAAAAATAGATTCCCCTTTTATCTGAAAAATCAGATCCAGTGGTTTTCACTGTCTAAAACAGAAGCATGTTCTTCAAACCCCACTTTAGAATAATGCGAAAATACCACATTATCTTTTTTCAGAGATGTGAAAGCTGGTTCATTGATGGCACCAAGCATTCTTTGGGGGACGAGCAGGATGCAGCACTGCACAAACTTCCAGTCCTACCATACCACACAGTAAGTTCTCGACAGGTTTCCAGAAGGTTCTACATGTCCAGTGAGGGAACAGCAGTAGAACTTGCTGTTGAACATACTGTATGTAACAGTATAAAAGTCAGTGATCAGGCCACACCCATATATTATCTCCATTGAGTCTTCATTGCCCAGAGTGGGATTGTGAGGGCGACTATCACCAACATTAGGGAAGGTCCGCGAGAAAGTGACTTGCCTGCGGCTGCTGCTGCTGCACGTTCATCACTTCTGTCGGCTCCGATCACAGGAGCCTCTGTTCCAACAAAAACAAACTCTGTTGTGCAGCCGTCAGAGCAGCCGCTGCCACTGCCAGAACTGCTGCCCTCGTCACCTGAAGCAACAAAATCACACAAATTAAAATTTACATTAAAAACAATACCATCACAAGCAGCTATTAGTTTGGTCCATGGCAATGTGGAAGTGAGATTATAGTATAAGAAATAGAAGAGTATAATATAGAATCAAGCACTGGTCACCAGAAAGCAGCACAATGAAACTCATCCATGCATTCTAGTAGTGATATTGGTGGTG